CAAACACTCCGTGAAGTGAAGAGCCGTAAAATGAACACTTAATTACATTCATTTTAATGAGAGAATTATAACGTCTCCTTTCTCCTTCCAACCCAAGACACACAAGTAACTTTCACTGAGAGAAAAACACATCAGTTAAGCAACGTGACCTAGCTAATGTGTGTCATCAACAGCACAGCTAAAGTAAACCAGCCAAACTGGCCTGGTGCACTGCAGAGCAGGGGCTGGGGGCTCCCTCGGAAGACGATGGGAAGTCAGCCACACAGCCCAGGGCTGCTACTCAGACAAGCACTTACGCTCACTGGGCTGCCGCAGGGAGAATACGTCAGGGCAAAAGGCAGAGTGAGCCGTGCCACTGACACGCAGCACAGCAAGGTGAAGGCCACGGACGGGGGGCTCAGCACCCCTCTCCGTGGACGCCCCCAAAGCCAGTGCGAGGGCTCAGACGCGGCCTGGGAGGAAGGGCGACCTCTGCCTGCACTGTCCTTGCTTCTATTTTGTGGTGGTTCTCTTTCATAATAAGGTCAAAATAAAATGATCATAAAAATGAAAAAAAATTTATATATGGAAAACTTAAATAAAGGCTTCAAAAAGAGTAGTATTGATTTTTTAAGGAAAAGCATAGTTGATCTTAGTTCTAATTATTTATATGGAATTTCACGTGCTTTTCTCTTTTTGTTTTGAGGGTGAAAAGTTCCAGAGGCCCTGCGTGGCCGTTTTCTATTTCAAGCCTGGCAAGAGAAGCTTCTGCATCGGCTTGTGCTGCTGTGGGGACATGCAGGTCTGAGGAGGCGAGGCAAGGGGGGTCACAGGACGGTGCTGCTCGGAGGCGCTTCGGCTGCCGGTGGACTCGGCAGTGGTGACCGGATGAAGTCACCACTCTCCCACTTCAGCTCGGGGTCCAGGGTGACTCAGGAATGAGATTTATGGAATGTTCCTTTGGCACGCAGGGCACAAATCTATCATCGTGTCTTCCTTCTTTATTACAAATTCTCTGCCACAAGCTAGACAGCTCAGGAATCAGTGCTGGAGCTCTGCCTACCCACGCTGTGTTTACTCAACTGCAATCCAGGGGTGGGGACCACACGACCTTCTAAGACTTCTTCCCCATCCTTCATCTTATGATCACATTACACACGTAAAACATCAGAGATGCTCTGTGTCACTGCTCAGGAAGACGGCAGACCCCAGAGCTGAAGCCAGGCGGCTCTGAACTCAGCCCGAGACTCTTAGGGATCATGTGTGCCTGGGCTGGCAACTTCACCGCTGCACTTCTGATGGTCAGTAAGGAACAGTCAGAGAAGAAAAGCGGAGAGCTGTGAAATGCTGAACCCAACGCAGAGAGCAGCAAGCACGCAGCCGTGCCTGCTACAGTTAGCACTGCTGTGTTGGGAAGGACCATGAAGAATATTTAATAAAAGGTCCCTAATGAAGAAATTAGAGAAGCATGAAGCATAGTTAAGTCAGTAAATTAAGAGCAAGGGGATTTCTTCTCTCCTCTTACTAGTATGAATGTTAGGTATGTAATTCTTAGGTTTAATTGAGCTAGACCACCATTGAAACAAAAAATAGATAAATTAAAAAAATTACCTCAGAAAGTGAATCCAAAGTCACTCATCTTTTGTCTCTATGCAAGCGACCTGTGGTTACATTCACATGTGTCTGTGTTCATTCCAGCACACTGACATTTGGGGAAAGAAGTGCTACTATTTTAAATAATCTTATCTCTTAGATACATCACAGTATAATTTAAATATGCACTTTCCATGTAAGAAAAATCTGACAAATGAAAATTAAGAAGTGATAAACAGACAATGATGTTAGGCTGAGACATCATAGCATTCTAAATTATTTTATCATAAAGCTGTTATTTAGATTGATAGAACTTTCAATGAAAGATGGTTATAGAATGACTCAGGTTTTGAACTGATTTCAAAATCAGGAGGAATATTAATAAGTATATAGCTAGTTGCCCAGAGTCAAACAGTTCTCTGTAGGCACTAAACTACAGAAAATTCATTTAGAGTTTCCCATTTGGAATTATACATCAATGCCATTCTTGCCTCACTCTTTGAACAGAATCCCCTTTTCCTCACTGGGAATTCTACAACAAGTTATCTTCATTTAACATGCAGTATATATTCCAGTTCGTTAAAAACAGCTTCTGAGTTGAGGAATTCATATTGGCTAGAGAATTTGGATTAAATTCAAATTCAAACTGATGTTTTCATGCAGTAAACTGCCCGGGCTACGGGGAGCCAGGTGGGCCTTCTGGGAAAGACGGGCCATTTCTTCACATCAGCAGGCTGCAAGCCTGACCCCCGGCCAGGTCCCTGCCCTGGCCCGCCCCCCTCTGGCCTCCCCACCCTGGCCTGAGCCCAGCCTGAGCCCACAGGCGTCTGCCGCCCTGCTCTGCCTAGGGCACTGACCCAAGCGCTGACCAGGCATCACGGGGCGGGACAGCTCCCTCTGACTGGCTCTCTCTTCTGTCCAGTAAGGGAAACTGTTCTGGCGGATGGAGGTGGGAGGTTTCTATAGCTACCTTTTACAGGAGTACTAAGATGTAAAAAATTAAATAGAAAGATTCTCTGTCTCATCCTCTATTCTCTCCTTACCCTAAGCAGCCTCTCTACCTTAGGAGCCAAATTTTACTATACCTGGGAGTAGTAAAATTGTTTACTACAATTGTAGTAAAATTATTTTACTATACCTGTTTCATCATCATCATTGTTACAGCCATTGGTTTATTTATAGCTACTTATTACAACTACTTCCCTGGTGGCTCAGAGGTTAAAGCATCTGCCTGCAATGCGGGAGACCTGGGTTCAATCCCTGGGTTGGGAAGATCCCCTGGAGAAGGAAATGGCAATCCACTCCAGTATTCTTGCCTGGAGAATCCCATGGATGGAAGAGCCTGGTGGGCTACAGTCCACGGGGTCGCAAAGAGTCGGACATGACTGAGCGACTTCACTTCACTATTACAACTGCCACTTTGTCAGTGTTTCTTTAGATGTACAACTATCTCCCCATCTTGTATTGCCCCAATACCCAGAACGATACCTGACAACTAGACACAGAATAAAAATGCAGAAATGGAATAATCAACAACTGACCAAAGAAGTAAATAAAACAGATACACAGGTCACTGAGTCCAGGCATGGACTCACACATGCCAGGCACTATATGCTAGCCACTACAACCTTAAAATTGCCTTCGAACGTAGATACTATTCTACTCATTTTGCAGATGAAGGTTTTGGCCTCAGTGAAGTTACAAAATTTGTTCAAGGTCTACAGGTTCTAAGGGGGAGAAAGCTGGATTTGTTTCAAAACCAGTTTAGTTCTAATCTTGTATTCCTAATTTATACTCTTTCCCCTCTTTTCCCACATTTTTATTTTGTACATTTATCATTAATTTAACAATTAGCCTGGCAATATTTAGTCTGCCTAAACTGCCATCGGTTTTATAAAGAGGTAGAGGATTCATGAACTTGAACAACAGGAAGTGCGTCAGCCCTGGTCACAATTCTGAACAATTTGTTCCCATCTGCCTTTGTCGCCACACATCTCACAGTAAGACACTGGGTTTCACTAAACTGAAGGTCAATGATGTGTAACATCATGAAAACCAATCTAATGTCCATGCAGAGTATCTAGAAAATAGAACGAGACATTAGAAGCTAAGAGCTCTTTCTGCAGACGTGTGTGTGTGTGTGTGTGTAGACACACAACTGGGAAACTCTCTGGTTGTGAACAGCAGGTCCACAGGGTCAGCTTCTCATGAAAGCTCATGCTTCCATCAACAGGAAGAAGCTGGACCATCAGCCCCTTATTTATGGCCCCACTCTCTTGTCCCTGGAGGCAGACACTGTTTCTCTCCAGGAAAGTGAGTAACTTTGGATATAAGGCAAGAGCCAAAACAGGCATGTATTTCAACACCTATTTTTAAGGGCAGAGCCAACGATTTTGTATCCCATTAGTCATTGAAGTTCAGATGATCAACAGTCACATCCATCAAAGGCTCTCTCTCGCTTACCACGTATCCTACTTTTCTTTGTGTTTCTTGTCTCAGAGAAACACGTTCCAGCACGCTGAACGCTCCTGACTACCCCCTTCATTACACATAGCTGAGCTTCTCCGACACTCCTGATCTTGCTCAGGCTACACAACCCCCGCCTGCACGTCATTTCCCATGCTGGCGAGACGAGGCCACTCAACGTTTAAGAGACAAAACCACCCATGGTCCACAGGCGGGGCGGTGGGGGAGCACTCATGGTCAACAGAGAGCAGAGCTGAAGGGAAGACAGCGTGTCTACAGTGGGAAGTGAGGCCCTTTCCAAAAGGGAGACATGGGCAAGAGAAGCCGAAGAAGCCTACCACATGTAGCATGTCGGAGGGCCCGGCCTCTCCTGAGAACGCTCACCAGCCAGGGAAGCAGTCACCTCCACCCACGTTCTCCTGCAGGACCCCTCCGGGATCCCATGAAGGGAGAACTGCTGTTAGTTCAACATTTTGGGGATAATGAGTCAGACATCTAGTTTGCTTTCTCGGTTCCAAGACCACTGGTCTGTCTGTGACACCACAGCAACTGTTCTCTTTTTAAAAGCACTTGCAAGCATTTTGCTAACTTGTCAGTCCACAGCCTGAGTTCTGGGTCATTTGATCACAAGACTGGTTGGGGAAGAACACAGAAATTCTATGTTGGAAAGTTTACCTCCAAGGTCACTCTACACTGATAGATGCTGGGAAGACTCAATAATTTGTTATTTGTAACATTGGTAATGAGATGCAACAATCAGAGGGAAAAGCAAAGTTATGAATATATATTATTAATAAAAAACAAGGATTCAGTGGGAAGGGTTTCTCATCTTTGTCAGTCACTGAAAAACAAGTTAACTGCTAAAGCCCAGCCAGACCTGTAAGCACAAACTTGGACAACTATTGCAGAAAGGTCGACTGTCCGACCTTGATTTCAAGTCGTGTCTTCTGTGAATCGCTTACGGCAGACACTGTGGACCGTGATGGGTAGTCTTTCCGCACATTCTCAGAGCTCCGAGGACGCGGTCTAGCTTGGAATGCCTTCCGGCTTTCCTTCCCGGCACCCAGTGTGGAGTCCTGGGACCCAGTCAGTGCTTGTGGGACGCAGGCAGGAAAAGGAAGCAGCTCCAAGAGGAAGGCAAGGATGAAGGCACGGCACAGGCACCAGAGAAGCGCAGACGGTGCGCGAGAGCGCTGGCCGCTGTCCCGAGCTCCAGAGGCCAAGCCGTGAGTCCGCCTCCGGAGGACGCCCCGCCAGTCCTCCTCCTCACCTCCGTCCATCTCAGACGTGTCTCGTGGCTGGCAGGGCCTTGCTGCTGCTCTGGGGACCCACTGGAGAAGGCGGATTCCAAGGCTGGTGGCACCAGGACGGTCACTGAGCCCCGAACCTACTCCGCCTGAAGGTCTAAGGCACAGAGACACTTCCCTGTTTTTGAAAACATCTCAGCACCTGGCACCTCAGAATGCGATTCCCAAAGGGTTCTCATGACATTTGCCGATGTACAGTGCAAAACTCAGGCTCAGAAAATCACAGGAAAAGAGGTGGAGAGTGGAGATTACGCACCCTCTGCATGGACTCATTCTCAGGGAACACAAGCACTCACTTCTCTCTTCTCTGGAGCTTAAGAAGACGGAGAGAATTCTCTCAAGGACACCAAAATCTCATCAGATCGACCAAAAGGCGGCCTAAATGGGGGGGTATTTTATCCATGGATCCTGAGTGATATGAGTAAGATTCAATTTTAAAACAAAGTTCTTGCATTCCCGATGGCAACATTCTAACAGGGAAGACAAATGTCAGAGCCTGCCCTCATGTTAAATTTCTCCTTATCCATCCTTCCCAGTATTGCGGGGTGGTTTATTATGAATTACTAAGAATACCTCTGATTTGACTCTTCTCAGCATTCAAGTGCATATATTCCATGTGCGCTCTCACCTCTCAAACATGCTTCAGAAAGCAACAAACAGGCATAAGTTTACTGGCAAGAAAATAGACAGTACTTTACACATAGTAAACTTGAAATCTGATATTTAAGTTATCCAGTGACCAGAAACACAGAATATTTATTTATTCTTTGATCAAAGTAATGAGGTAAAATTGTTTCAGTGCCAGCTGAATGCCTAAAACTCAGATATTGCATAATCTAAAAAAAAAAAAAGAAATTTGCAAATTAGGGTTCATTTGTGCATTTTATATCATTCTGCATAAATGCATAATTGTGACAGTTTCAGACACCAGATGGTGTGTGCAATTCATACCCATTTTCACTCTGTTCTATTACACGTAATGGCTGTGGCTTCACCTCTGAGTTGAGGCGTAGCTTATAAAACTGCCTTGGTCGACAGTAAGACCAGACACCCTAACAGTCAGGAACACGGGCTCGTCGGGGGCAGAGGCGAAGCAACAGGGCTCCCGTGCTCAAAGCACCAGCCGACAGACCAGCACTCAGCTCCGAGTCTGACACGCGATGAGCTGCAGCAGGAGCCCCGGGGGGGAAGGAGGAGGCGAGGAAGGCTGAGAGGAAGCACAGCAGGGCACAGAGGCGTCCAGAGGGTGAGTCTGCAGGTGATGGAGAGCACCCAGAGTGCTGGTCAGGGAGACGGAGCGCCAGCTAGTCCCTGAAGGCTTTTCTGGACTTTTCTACATTTAATACAAATATATCGCAAGTCTCATTTCCCTGTACACATGAAACTAAGCACCATTGAGATAACACATGCCAACCAGTCCTGTGTGTCCCGTGATCTCCCTCCCTGCTCATCTCACACTCACACACACAGTCCCCACCAGCCCTTCTCCAGCCTGTCTGTGCACACCTGCAGTTCTGTGTTAGGATGTAAGACCAGAATCCAGAGGGTCCATGTGTTAACTCATGGCCCCCGGGAGGGTAGGCAGAGATGCTCTGCTGAGAGAGTGTGGTCCAAGGAATGTCTGCTCCTCTGGAGCCAAGAGGATCCTGGACTCCTGCAAACATTTCCAATAAAAGCTCAGACCATTTGGGCAAGCACGTGCTATGGCCACAGAGACGCAGCACAGAAGGACTGAGGTCAAGCAGAAGACTAAACCCTGGCCTCGGCAAGAAATATCTCCCTTCAGCAGACAACAGACAGGGGCTCCCAGCGGGGATGCTGGGAAATGCCCTGGATCCTCTGCTCTTCCTGGGGACAAGCTCCCTCCTGTAAGATTCTGCTCAAAAATTGAGGCGAGGGTTTCCCATCAGATTCTGGATCTGTCAGTTTTTCGTTATAATCCTCTTTTTCTTCTTGCTTCTTTTTCACATATTTGAGTCAGTTCTACTGTTTTAGCTTCTTAGAACTGTAACTTTTTATTGTTAAATAATTTTATTTATGTGCAAAAACACCTGCGTCGCTTTTCTAATGTATTCTGCGCTATCTGAGCCTTTTATCTCTCCCCTCCACCCTTTTGTCTCCTGTATTCTGTTATCTGAGCCTGCCCTCTCCCCCCCACTCTCTCTTCTCATGTATTCTGTTATCTGAGCCTCCCCACCCCTCTGCTCTCTCCCTCCTCTTCTGGTGAGATTTCTGTTGCATGTGTGGCGTCCTCCTCACTCCCTCTATTTTCTCAGGAACGGTTGGTTACTAGTCCATTTAGTGTCGGTCTTTGCGACGGGAAGCCTCCTCGTCATCGTAGTCTGTGTCTTCTCTCTGGCTATATTTCAGATCACTTGTTCAGCTCGCATATTCTGTAGCTTCCCTTTATAAGATGTGGGCATGCCTTATTTATTGGCCTCAATACTGGGAGTCTGTGGATCAAGAGGTGAGACCTGCTGCTTCGGTTCTGGAAAAACCTCAGCCTTTCCTTCTTGAGCAGAGCCCCATCTCCCCCTTCTCCTTAACCCCTCGCCTAACTCCAGATGCGTGCTGGTGCTTCTCGCAGCACCTTCCCTGCACCTGCACGCTTGCCTCATGTCTCCTCACGTGTCTGTGTGCAGCTCCAGTTGATGGCCTCGTATCACTTTCCTAGTCAGCTCTTCTCTTTCCAGCTCTGTCAAATCCACTTACAGCATACGGACACGGCAGCGAATTTCAATGACATTTCTTGTTTCTAATCTGTCCTTGTTTTCATACAAGATAGTTCCTTAATTCTGGTCTCTTTACCTTTTGAAAATCTATTTAGTAATTTTAAACCTACCCAGCACCTCTGCAAGTCTGTTGATTCTCATCCTTCTATCAGGTTTTCTCACCCTGAAGTTTCTTTATATGACATGTAATATTTCACTGTATGTTTATCTAAAATGAGGGTTATTTTTAAGTGGAGGAGGAGTTCCTGGAGCCCCATTTTGTCAAAGATCCTGCAGATAATTTGTGATTGGAATCAGCCACAGCAGTCAGGCTTGGACAGAATCCTAAATGCTTCTGCTTCTAGAAGAATGTCCACATTAATTACACTACATGGACCTCTGACTCAGCTTGTGGAAATTCAGATCTCACATCTGTGCCTGGAGTGTGCGTACCACTGGTAACCATGTTCTACCCATGGCCGTGGAAATGTGACAAGCTTCCTTCCTTGCTTTCTCGGGCGGATGTTCTCTAGGCCTTCTCTTGTAAACGGGGATGCTCACTGAGCTTCTGGGTTTCATTCCCGGGGCTCAGCTCCAGCATCCCTCCCCATCGTCCCTACCCCCTGCGCCTCTAGCCTGCAGGTGCAACATGCCTCTTCTCTGACTGCCTCCCATCCTTTTGTAGTTTACTGCTCAGGGGCCACTGCCTCTGGAGTCACGCCCACCCTCAGGTTTACAGTCCCCCCCCCCCCCAATTCTTGGGACCCAAGTGATTCCCTCGCTTTCTTTCATTCTAGTTCAACTATGTGCTGAAAGCAAATGTTGATAAAATCACGCAGCGACTTTATGTCTGTAGCGGGGATGGGATGTCATCCACGCTTCTATGGCCCCATCATAAACTTTCACGAGGAACAGTATTCTCTGTCTTACCCTAGGCAGTATTTTCTGATTTCCACTATAACACAAGCCATGTTAAGGTCCTGGAAGACAGATTGGTTGGAGCAGGGTTCTGTTTTCTCTCACAAATTAGGTGAATTCTTCAGTTCCTAAGCAACACTAATTTTTTCTAGAGTGCCTGGCACATGTGGAGAACTTAATAAATGGTGGTTATCTTCCACTAACCATCCAAGAAGAGCAATCAGAAGAAAATAATTTTTATTCAAAGCATAAAATTAAAAAGCTAGGATCTCAGAACCAGAGGGGCACTGGTTGTTGGTATTTGAGAACCGACACCCCCATTTCTGCAGACGGGGATGGGAGCTTGGAGGGGGCGGAGAATGCTTCTCTCTGAACCCTCTGATGCCCAGTTTTCTAAAAGCAACCTTATTATTTTCCTTAATTGTTGAGAGGCCTTAAAATCTCAGGATGACACACTCAATTAAGGTATAAAAATAGTGTGGAAATTTCCATCGTTTATAGTCACTAGTAGGGAAAATCTTGAATATTTGCATTAAAAAAAATCAAGAACATAATACTACAAATACAGGCAAAATTCTTTTCTTTCTTTTTGTTTTTACTCAGGGGTTGTGAAGGGAGAAGAGGTATTTTGGACTCATTCTATTTATAATAGAACATTGGAGTGTATATGTTTGTCCAAAATGTGAGGAGCAGTATGCAATTTCTGTTTTTAAATGATCAAAGTAAAAAAATATTCAGATTAGAAAGAAAATCTCTCACTTCAAACTTTGTGAGATTTCCATTTTTAACCTTAATCTTGTTTTTGGATTGGCATTTCTACAAACAACGTTTTCCCAGTGATCTGATGGATATGTCACCACAAACGGTCCACTGCTTTGAAGTGATCATCTTAAGGCCTCTATCACTGAAAAATCTTTCTTTATAAAATCCATCATAACATTCTTGTAGCACATTCCTGCATGCCAGATTTATACCATACGAGCCTATTTCATTTCTTAGTTTTAATTGGGTTAAATGACATAAACGTAAGACACTGTCGTTACATTACAGTAGATTTCAAGTGAGTTCTCCTCAACTCTGCCAGGCATCAGGATCTGTCTTCCCACCTCAGAAACTCTCTTAGGAAGGACAGCAGGTCAAATCACAGAGTGTAAACAAATAGACAAGTCCATGAACAGATGGCTATGGCCCCACCACTGTCCACAATTTCTTGGTGGTCTTATTAATAAGCAAGCAGTAACATGCATTTGTCAATGATGTCTGAAAACCACCATATACCCTAAATTATCTCCCTGCATTACAGTGATGGATTATATCATGCAAAACCTTCAGAGAGCCTTTCAA